GGCAAGAGAGGAGGAGTTAGCATAGCGATAGGTTAGAGGCAGCCATAGCTGCCATAGCTATAGTTAGTAGTGAGTGTGTGTGTGTGCTCGGGTGTTAGAGTGATGCGTGTGGGATATCCAGGGTGATCCAGTGTATGTGAACAGTGAGATGTTTGTGCGCTGAGGTCGCCATAGCCAATTGGGAGTGAACTCGTATCTGAAAACCATATCTCTGAGTTTTGAGTGGGCGCATGTCGCCAGTGTGTTGCGTTACTGTTTACATGTGTGAAAAGTGTGTTTGAAAACGAGTCTGATTGCAACAGAATCCTAGAACTGCGAATTTTTTTTTTCCGAAAAAGAAATAAAATATTCAGACTTACTCAGATGGGAGTATTCGCAGTTTGGAGAATAATACCTGCAGGAGGGATTTCCCGTACCATTTTCAGAAAAGCGAATTGCGAAAAAGAAGATATTCCGAATTTCTAAGTACCGGTAAATGCAACAGGAAATCAAAATTTTCGAAAAGAAGGATATTCCGGATTTTTAACAACGAAAATGGAAATTTCAGATGTTGCGCTGTTCCGATTTTCCACAACAGAATAGCAAGAAAAGCTCAGAAAACAAAATCCGAGAAAAGAAAAAAAAAATCGATTTTCGGTAGTGAGGTCAAAATCGTGATTTTGGGGTCTAACTAGTGTGCTCTAATCAATCAATAAAGACTAATCAGCTACCTAGTCCCCGCACACGTGTCGGATCAAGTTGTCCTCATTCACGTGCGAAGCTCCGATACCAACTGTTACATGCCCGGTTGGGATTCAAACATTTTGACGAGGGACTATTTGGGCCTGTGCCGAAGACTTGGTGTTGACGACATTCCCATCTTCCCCTCTTCTTCGTCTAACCCCCCCTCTTCTTCGTCTGTGTATGGTTGGGGCTGGCGCAGTCTTCCTGTGTGAGCGCTAGACCCCTTCACACCATGGAATGATGATGATGATGTATGTTCTCGGTTGCATTGCAATACTCATTGTTCGGATCATTGGTATCTAAGTTTTCCGCTGCGCTATCTTGTACTTTGTTGAGAGGTCGGTTCTTGTTCTGGTCTGCACAGTTACAGTATGCAACAGTTTGGTATCGGAGCGGACCTCTCATTCAGAGGACCCGCTCAATCAAGTAGCCAACTTTCTTGATCTATTGATTACTCATTAGTAAATCAAGTAGGACTTCGTCAAATCTCTGAATTTTTTTTGATTTTTCTCGCAAGAACTATCTGAAAATTTCTGATAATCGCATTTCGTTTTACCTGAAAAATTCTGATATTAGTATTTCATTTTTACGCAACAAATATCTGAAAATTTCTGATAATCGCATTTCGTGTTATCTGAAAATTCCTGATAGTAGCATTTCGTTTCTCTGATATTTCGCATACATAGCTGAAAATTTCTGATGTTAACATTTCGTTTTCTAGGCATATTAGGATAACGATAGAAGTGGTCATATTCTCGGAAACCGGATTTATTCTTTTCTGAAAATCGAATTTCCATTCTATCTCGCAAATTTTTTTTGAAAACCGAAATCTTGCGAAGCCTACCAACATTTCATTAGGCATATTCGAAGGTTGCCATATTCTCAGAAACTGGATTTAATTCTTTTCTAAAAATCGCACCTCCACTCTATTTCGCAAATTCTTTTTCAAGATCGCATTTTGTGAAAGCCGAAACTTTGCGGAACCTAGCCTAGATCTCGCTTATAGTACTCTTCTGACATGTCTCACTCATAACAGATCGACAGATAACAAAAAAAAAAAAAAAGGAAGTAGTCCTCTTTTATTTTTTATTTTTTATTTTTTATCTGTTGATTAGGGCCAGGAGGAAAGTATTGTTGGGTTGGTTCCCTGCCTGCGTTTTCCCTCCCACCCACCCCTTTGCATGCATTTCCGAGTTGGTACAGTGCCACGTCAGCAACAGTGCCATGTCAGCAGTGCCACGTCAGCAGTGCCATATCAGCAGTGCCACGTCAGCAGTGCCATGTCAGCAACAGTGCCACATCAGCAGTGCCACGTCAGCAGTGCCACGTCAGCAGTGCCACGTCAGCAGTGCCACGTCAGTCACATTGCCACATCAGCAGTGCCCCGCCACCATGACGGGCTCAGTTCTGGGCATGCCAGGCCAACTGGCAAATGAGTCCATTGCCGAGTACCGACAACGTTTTGAAACTCAGCTCGCACTAATCGCGGCTGAGGAACAGCGCCAGCTGGCAGCCGAGGCTCTCCGCCTACAGGCTAAAGCGGCGGCAACAGCTAAGAAACAGCGGCTTCAGGCCGAAGCAGACACAGATACCCAGGCACGCCGCAAGGAAGCCCAGGATCTGCTGCAGCGGCATGAAACCACCAGCATTGAAAGGCTCAAGTTTTGGCACTTTGAACCATCCGAGGAGCACGATGACGCAACACCAGAGGAGCAGCATAAGGAATTCATGGCCAAGCTCATGACCAGGTTGGTTTACACTTGTAACCACCTGCAGTCCGAGCTGACGAATCTCCAGCAGGCCGTACGGAACCCCAAGGATCAGCACGAGGATGCAGCACGGGCACTTGATTCCCGTGTACAGGACTTGGAGCAAACTGCACCAAGACCGGAGGCTGGCGAGTCCAGCAGTGCACCCTCTGCCCGCCAACTGGAGGAAAGCGTCGATCACGTAGTGGCAATGCTAGGTGATATTAGCACCTTCGCAGCGCCAGCCACCATCAGCCAGCAGCTGGACACACTGAAGACCGAGATCAGGCAGCGACAACAGCCGTCTGACCCCGATCTCAGCACCAGCACGGCGAAGCAGTACAAGATGCCGACGTTCCGGATCGAGAAGGTTGATGATTACACACATCAAGAACCGGTTTTCAGGTGGCAAGGATTCACAACGGAGTTGGGGATTCATGAGGTCCCCGAACATCTGTTCATTGGCGCGCTGTTCCTTAACGCCAAGGGAGGATGCCAGATCTGGCTCAGCCATATGGCAACCGTCCACGGCGTCCASGTCTTCGACCTACACAAGAAGGTCTCCTGGGAGGATCTGACAAAGGAATGGAAGAAGCGGTTCATCGTTGACGACGCCCCGACGCTCGCCATCAACCACATCTTCATGATGGCTCAAGGAAACACAACAACACGTGTTTGGCTCACGGATTGGCAGAAGATCGTGGCGACGCCCGATTTGGACTTACCATTTCCACATCTGCGCCGGGAGTTCTACAACCAGTCATGCGCCGCTTTGAGCCTCGCACTTGGTGATCGCGAGCAGTACAACACCTTCGCCGAAATCATCAACAAGGCGAGGGAGATCATCAAGACAAACAGGGCAGCTGCACATGAGAAATCAGCATGGCAGCCAACCTATGTGGAGAAGGTGAGAACTGGTCCGCGRCCGCAGCATGTCGCTGCAGTCCAATCGGACAACATTGTGGAAGACCCGACAGCCACCCAAGCGTCACGTGAGGGAGATCAGGTGGCTGCTGTCCAGCCGCGAAGCAACAACAAGTCCTGAGGAAACGGGAAGGCGAAAACCGCATTGCCGGCCGAAAACGGACAGCCAGCACCATGGGTCAAGTTTCACTTGACCGAGGCGGAATACAAGTGGCGCGGCCGCTACGGCTGCTGCTATTGGTGCAACGGCACCAATCACAAGACCTCCCAATGCCCTGATCAAGGCAAGGAGGATGTTCGGCCTCGTATCAACTCGGGAAACTTAGTTGCGCAGGAGGTGAGGCGACTTCACCTCTCACTCCGCCAGATTCGGCCGCCTTGCTAGCGGCCTCCTACACATATGGGGAGGATGCGAATGTCGCAAGTCCTCGGTACACTTACAAGGACTATGCTGTCCACTTGGTCCCACCGTTGGACCAACCGCTCCACGTGCAACAATCTACCGCATGCATGGTTTCATCATCATCGACAACCGATTCCGCAGCTTCGCCGCCATCTACCGCCGGGGATTCAACGTCATGGTCAAGACTTGAAGAGCTCGACCCGTTGACATTTTATACTTCCAATGGATGCCCCTTCCCCGGTCCGGTCGATTGCCGAAACCGCATTGCAACGTGCTCATGGCACAATTGCGGGATTACTTGCACACTGCAGTACCGACTCCGTTGATGGACGCCGGAGTAGAGGTTGTCGACCTTCACGCCTACATTGCGAAGATCGACCGCGAGTTCAAGACACAACGGTACAACGACATCGACGCACCATTGTTATATGTACGCATTCAGATCAGAGAGGCGACCTGCATGTGGAACACCTGCGCACCGTTTTGGAGCGGCTACAACAAGCCAAGTACAAAGCCAACCGCGACAAATGCGAATTCGCGCGGCAGGAGCTGGAGTACTTGGGACATTATGTGACGCCGCAAGGCATCCGTCCGCTTGCGGACAAGATCGAGGCCCTCCTCGTATGGCCCGAGCCCACCAACACCACAGACGTTCGTTCATTCATGGGGTTGGCGGGTTACTATCAGCGATTCATCACCGGGTACTCAAGGATTGTTGCACCTATGACGAGATTACAATCGCAAAAGGTGCCATTCGTATTCGATGACGACGCACGCAGGTCATTCCAAGCACTTAAGACAGCCATGCTCATGGCACCCGTCCTTAGCATCTATGACCCCACCCTGCCTACGAGAGTGACAACTGATGCTTCCGGCTATGGCATTGGGGAAGTCTTGGAACAACACGATGGCGACGACTGGCACCCGGTGGAGTATTTCAGCCACAAAGTGCCTCCCATTAACTCGCTTGATGATGCAAGGAAGAAGGAGCTGCTCGCGTCCGTGATGGCTCTCAAGCGATGGCGGCATTTCCTCCTTGGGCATCGTAGGTTCACATGGGTTACGGACAACAACCCACTAACCTACTACAGGACGCAGGATACGGTGAGCAGGTCGATGGATGTACTTCATCGACCAATTTGATTTCACACCGAAACATCTCCCCGGCCTCTCCAATCGCGCCACAGATGCACTCTCGCGAAACCTGATCTTTGCGCTATGACACATCATGCCTTCGCATTCGACGACGAACTCCAGCAACACTTCATCCGGGGCTATGAGTCTGATCCGGACTTCGCCAAGTTGTATGCGCAGCTATCTTCGGATCACCCACCGGCCAGCCACTATCACATTGCCGACGGGTACTTGCTCCTCCACTCGAGAGGCCAGGACTTATTGTGTGTCCCACGAGACCGTCGTCTTCGGACTCGCCTTCTCGGGGAGTACCATCACTCGCGACTCGCCGACCATTTTGGAGTCAACCGCACTATTGCACGGCTTCGACAACGATTCCGATGGCCCGACCTCATTACCGATGTCACTCGGTCTTGCGACTCTTGCGAATTTTGCCGATGAAGCAAGCCCCGCAATCGCAATCCCTACGGCGACTTGCGCCCGATGCCTATCCCACGGGAACCCGACCTCTCCATTGCCATGGATGTCACCGGACCATTTCCCCGTGATCGCCTCGGGCATGGCGGCATCCTCACGGTTGTGGACCGTTTGAGTAAGTATGCGCGTTTTCTCCCTTGCAAGTACTACTCCACGGCTCCCAAGCTGGCACGCCTCTTGCACACCGGTTGGATTTTTGGCCACGGTATACCGAAAGACATAGTCAGCGACCGCGACACTCGCTTCATGTCGCCATTTTGGACTGCTCTCATGCAGGAGTCCGGCACGAAGATGAAACCAAGTTCGGCTCGGCATCCACAGACGGACGGGCAAATGGAGCGGGCACATCAAACCGCTCAAATGATGCTTCGTACGCTCATCCGTCCAGACCAGAAAGATTGGGTTGACCGCCTCCCTGACATCGAGTTCGCCTACAACACTTCGGTGCACCCGGCGATCGGCGTAACTCCATTCGAGTTGCACCACTGTGGACGGAAAGGCCGTATCTTCGCCGACCTTCTCCTCCCACGACCAGCCGACATCGACGCCGCTTGCTCTCCCGCTTCCGTCTGGAGGTACAGGGAATTGCTGGCTCAAGCCCGCGCGAACATGCAAAAGGCTCAAGTCCACATGCAGCAGCAAGCCAACAGGCGTTGCGTGCCATGTCCCATCAGCGTCGGTGATCTGGTTTGGGTCTCCGTAGAAGAGTTTGCACTGGAACAGGATGTTTCACGCAAACTACTTCCCAAGTGGTTTGGACCATGGCCCGTAACATCAGCCGCGGGCGATGAGCCCGATGGCCCTTCATTTGTGATCAACATCCCTGCGCATGTGACGGTCCATCCAGTCTTTCACGCCTCGAAGCTGGCAACATATACACCAGCTAAGAGCGGCGACTTCCCGGGCCGACGATCGCAGGACCCTCCATCTATGGATGGTCATCAGGAAGTTGACCGCGTCATCACGGATCGCAAGTACGGCAGCAAGCCTCGCCAATACAAAGTTACATTCAGAGCATGCGATACCGACGATACTCAGTGGATTTCAGGAACAGATTTGAAAGCATCCACACTGCTGATCTACGCTCACTACGAGCGACAAAGGTTAGCTCAGGGACCTTCACGACCTGCCCCTCCCACCCGGACTGTGGTCCCTCCCTCAGACAGACAGCTTCGCCCTCGCAGGTAAGCTCGGTCTTTCAAGGAGGGGGGGGGGTGGCATACTGCGTAGCCACACGGGCCTGCAGGGCCCGTCCCGCATTCCCAGCCTAAAAAGCCTAGAAATAAGGGCTTACAGGCCCCTGTCGTTTCAGCTTGAAAGACTGAAAAACGAGGGCCTGCAGGCCCTATGTCGTTTCAGCCTAAAGCAGGGCTTTTCAGCCCTGAGGCTTTTCAGCCTGAAACGGAGGGCCACTTTCGGGCCCTCATAAGATCGACCTGTCCTAACACTCGGGCACAAAACCAGGGTTTCGGGAACAGGCTATCTTTAGCCTATTCCCACGACAGCCTCAAGCAGGAGCTGCAGCGGCAGCCCCCGACTCCCTGCGGCATTGGCAAGAGCAGCCTCCTGGACTGCCTCGCCCTGCAGTCAGGAGGCAGCCCGAGAAGTACATAGGGAGTTCCCATGCACTTCACGGGTAGGTAGTTGGACAGTAGGCAGGAGTAGTCTTCAGGATTCGGCCGCAGCACTCAGGAGGAGCGCTGCAGGAGTAGCTTAGCGCTAGCAGTAGTCTTCAGCGTTGGGCGCTAGTAGCCATAGGAGTAGTCTTCAGCGCTGGGCGCTAGTAGGTGGTAGTAGTAGCGTTGGGAGAGATGACTGGCGGAGGCCAGTGAGGCTTACCTGTGGCACCATAGCTCCAGCTCCATCTTCGAGGTACCTGCATCAAGGCGCCAACTTCACAGGTTAGTACCGGACTAAGAGAGAGAGAGAGAGAGTTCTTCTTCTTCCTCTTCTAAGTCCACCATCTCTTCTTCCCCTCTCGCCACCTAACTTCTCAGTATCAGCGGACTACGACAGAGAGAGAGAGTTGTGACTTGAGACTTGACGACATTGGATCTAGAATCGACATTGGGATTCAGACATTTTGACGAGGGACTATTTGGGCCTGTGCCGAAGACTTGGTGTTGACGTCATTCCCATCTTCCCCTCTTCTTCGTCTAACCCCCCCTCTTCTTCGTCTGTGTATGGTTGGGGCTGGCACAGTCTTCCTGTGTGAGCGCCAGACCCCTTCACACCATGGAATGATGATGATGATGTATGTTCTGGGCTGCATTGCAATATTGATTGTTTGGATCATTGGTATCTAAGTTTTCCGCTGCGATGTCTTGTACTTTGTTGAGAGGTCGGTTCTTCTTCTGGTCTGCACAGTTACAGTATGCAACACTGGCGTTGTACACAGGAAGAGAGCGCCAGGTCCAGACATACACAGCCGAAGAGGAGGGAATGAGACGAAAGGAGGGAGAGAGATGGGAATGTCGTCAACACCAAGTCTTAGACACAAGTCCCAAATAATCCCTCGTTACAATGCATGAAGTCCAAAAGTCGAGTCTGGATCCGATGTCACCAAGCTCTTTCTCTCTTCTCTCGCAGTCTGCAGATGCAGTGAAGTCAGATGATGAGAGGGGGAGAAGGAGATGGTGGACTGAGAAGAGGAAGAAGAAGAACTCTCTCTCTCTGTTACGAGCCAGATACTAACCTGTGAYGTTGGCGCTGTGCTGCAGRTACCTCGAAGACGAAGCTGGAGCAACGGCGCTGCAGGTGAGTACTCCTGGCCTCCGCCCAATCTCTCTCTCTCTCTAGTACTCTAGCTATGGCGCCCAGCGCTGAAGACTACTGCTAACGCTGTAAGCGCCCAGCGCTGAAGACTAAGGCTAACGCCACTACAACCACTACTGCCGCGCTCCTCCAGAGTGCTGCGGCCGAAACCCTGAAGACTACTGCCTCCTGCCTGCCCGTGAAGTGCATGGGAAGTCCCTATGTACTACCTCGGCCTGCCTCCTGACTGCCTGAAGGGCGAGCCAGGCCGAGGAGGCTGCTCTTGCTAATGTCGAAGTGTGCCAGGGGCTGGCGCTGCAGCAGTGGCTGAAGCTGGCGTGGGGAACAGGCTAAGAATAGCCTGTTCCCGAAACTCTCGTTCGGTGCCTGAGTTTCAGGGCCGGTCGTTCTGATGAACGACCGAAAATGACCCTTCGTTTCAGGCTAAAAAGGCTGTTGCCATTTTTAGTCTGAAACGACACAGGGGCTGTAGGCCCCTGTTTTCAGGCTTGCGGGCTGAACAGTCACGGGGCCTGTAGGCCCTGGTTTTCAGGCTTTAAGCCTGAATTTCAGACTTTAAGCCTGAATTTCAGGCTTTCAGCCTGAGGGACGCAGGGCCTGGAAAATGGCCCTCGTGTGCAGGCGCAGCATGTAACAGACTGTGTGCACCCTGGGCCCAGGGCCAAGGGGCAGACCTACGACCATCCAAAGTATAAATAAAGAGGCAGCGTCAAGTCATGGATTCATTTTGCCTGTGAGCCGTGCGGAAGCGCTGCCTATGCGTCTTGTGTTCGGAGGTCTGCAGGTGCCCAAAGGAAGGAGAGGGCTGAGAGGAGGAAGACGCAACCATAGCCACTTGTTACTCATAGGGAGTAGACGGCAGCCATAGCTGCCAGTTAGCATAGTTAGTGTGTGTGTGTGTGTGTGTGTATGTGTGATGTGTGTGTCTGTGTGCGGGGCATCCAGGGAAATCCAGAGTTGCGTGTGTGCAAATAAGTTGCTGGGGATACAGTTTATCAGGGGAGAATCTTTGTCGGCGCACGTCCGCCATAGCCGATCGAGACAAGTTGGAATCTGAACTGTGTTCTTGGCTGCGTTATCTCTGAGCTCTGTGTGGGCGCAAGTCGCCAGTTTGATCGTCATATGTTTGTACGCATGCTGAGTGTCAAGGAAGACAAGTCTGATTGCATTGATATCAGAGCTGGTTCCCGCTGTCCCGTTGGTCGCCACCGTAGCCTGCCACCGTAGCCTGCCACGTCATCACCCGGTGCCAAGAAGAGGAGTGTGCCATGTCAGCACCGTCGCCGCCACTGCAGAGGAGGAGAGATGGTGCATACTCGTGAACACAGACATAAGTATGGCCCAGAATCCCAGGAACGACCAGATAATACAGAGCAAATACAATTACAGTGGAAGACTTGATACACATGGACTGACTCAAACCTGACTCAGACTGCAAAAAATCCCTCACAAACATACATCGGTGGTGTGAAAGCCCTGGCCTTCGACATGGAAGAAAGGGCCAGGGTCTGATCTCATACACAGATGAATGGAGGGGAGGAGAGACGAAGGGAGGAGGAGAGGGAAGATGGCGTCAACTCAATGTCTCCCAAAATAGTATCTCAAAATGTCATAAGTAGCGAAAATCCGAAATGTCGCGAACACAGAGTCTCGCAGCGTCCCAGATATCGATCTCCCAATGCCAAGATACATCTCCAGAGGTAGATGAAGTCAGATCCCCCAAAAGTGGTCCTCAACCGAAAGTCTCAATGTCGTTATCTCCGATATCATCAGAACTCGTAACCACCCTTCATACTCGTAGTAGTCCAGTGGGAGTAACCCAAGAAGTAGACATAGACTTAGAGGTCAGGAGGAGAAAGAGGGCGGAGGAGGAGAGGAAGAGAAGAGGATGAGAGAAGAAAGGTGAAGCCTTTCTTCCTGATACCTGAGTGACCGAGCTATCCCTGCTGATGTCCGCTGAGGCCGAGCCTGGCGATGCAGCTATGGTGCTGCAGAGCTGGGCGCTGGGCTGCGGGCTGGGCCAGAGAGCTGGCGCTAACCGCTGCTGTGCTAATCCTCCTCGCTGCTGCGCTAATCCTAACGCCGAAACGCTGTCCTGGACTAACCTGCCTACTGAGGCTGGTACCCGGCTGATATAGCGCTGGGCTGGCCTCTAGGCTGCTGGTACCTTCGGGTCTGGACCGTTAATCAGTCCGACGGTTCAGATCCGATCCGAACTCTGAAAAGCGGCGCCTAAACTTGGCTGCCTTCAAAACTCCGCCGCCGGTAGGTCCTAGTGTTGGACCGGTACCGGCCTGGCCCTTGTGACCGTTGGCCTACTCGGCCTCTGGTCTGACCTACCAGTCTGAACCAACGTCACCCCTGACCCTAGGCCTAAACTAGGCCTAACTACGGAACCGGGCCCTAACTGGGGCTATTGTGGTGTCAGAATGCCACACACTCCCCCCCTTGAAGACCGAGCTACTTGCGAGGGCGAAGCTGTCTGTCCGATGTCCGTGTGGGGCAGGCGGGTTGGGCAGCCTCTTTAGCAAGTCGCTGTTTTTCGTAATGCACAAAGATGAGGGGTGCTGTCGCCTTCAGGTCAGCTTGTGAAATCCAGCTTGTGTCGTCGGGATCGCATTATTTGAATGTGACTTTGTACTGCATCGGTTTGTTGTCGTGCTTGCGATGACCGAGGACACGGTCGACCTCTTGGTGACCGTCCATTGAAGGGGGGTTGTGTGATCGTCTGCCCGGAAAATCCGCTGGGGAGCCAGCTTCGAAGCGTGAAATACTGGGTGGACCATTAAATGCGGGGGAATCTTGATCACGAAAGAGGGACCTGCGGGGTCGTCGCCAGCTGCTGAAGTGACCTTCCATGGCCCAAACCACTTAGGGAGGAGTTTGCGCGAGACGTGCTGCTTGAGCGCGAATTTCTCGGAGGTGACCCAAACAAGGTCACTGATGCGGATTGGACATGGGATGCGACGCCGGTGCAGATTGGACATGGGCTGAGCCTTTTGCATATTTGCGCGGGCATTGGCCAGCAGATCCCTGTTCTTCCGTGTAGAAGCGGGGGAGCAAGCGGCGTCGATATCGGCAGCCCGTGGAAGCAAAATGTTTGCGAAGATGCGGCCTTTCCGTCCACCGTGATGCAACTCAAATGGAGTCACGCCGATCGCTGGGTGCACCGAAGTGTTGTAGGCGAACTCGATGTCCGGAACGCGGTCAACCCAGTCCTTCTGATCCGGGCGGATGAGTGTGCGGAGCATCATCTGCGCAGTCTGGTGTGCACATTCCTTTTGCCCATCCGTTTGAGGATGTCGTGCGGAACTTGGTTTCATGTTGGTGCCGGATTCCACCATGAGTGTCGTCCAAAGGGCTGACATGCAACGATTGTCGCGACCACTGACGATGTCTTCCGGGACGCTGTGGCTGCAAAACCAACCAGTATGTAAAAGTCGTGCTAGCTCGGGAGCTGTCGCATGATACTTGCATGGAAGAAATCGAGCGTATTTGCTCAAACGGTCGACGACCGTGGGAATACCATCATGGCCAAGGCGATCACGCCGGAAAGGACCGGTCACATCCATGGCAATGGAGAGACCTGGTTCCCGCGGAATCGGTAGTGGTTTCAGTTCGCCGTACAGGAGCTGATGGCGCCCTTTGTTCCGGTGGCAAACTGCATATGACTGAATGTACTGTTTGACATCGCTGATGATGTCCGGCCAGTGAAATCGTTGGCGGAGTCGTGCAAGTGTGCATGCGACGCCAAGGTGTCCCGCCAGCCGCGAATCGTGGTATTTGCCAAGGAGGTAAGTGCGCAAGATGCGTTCTTGGGGAACACACAACGAGTCCTTGCCTCGCATACGGAGAAGCAAGTAGCCGTCGACAATGTAATAATTGCTTGCCGGCGGGTGATCCGATGATAAGTCCCGAGTAGAGTGTGGAGGATCCCGGATCCGACTTGTAGCCGTTTACAAAATGTTGTCACAGGTCCTCGTCGAGGCCGAATGTGGAGTGCACCAAGGCGCAAAGATCGGGTCTTCGAGAGAGAGCATCCGCTGCCTTGTTCGAGGGGGCAGGAATATGCTTGGAGGTGAAGTCGAACTGGTCAATGAAATACATCCAGCGACCGATCGTGCTGCTCACCGTGTCTTGCGTCTTGTAATAAGTCAACGGATTGTTGCCCGTTGCCCGCGTGAATCGCCGACGCCCGAGGAGAAAGTGACGCCAACGCTTGAGTATCGTGACAAAAGCTAGCAGTTCCTTCTTCCTCGCGTCATCCAGGGAATTGATGGGCGGCACCTTTTGGCTGAAGTACTCATCCGGATGCTAGTCCGTGCGGTCATGCTGTTCCAAAACCGCGCCAATGTCGTAGTCGGAAGCATCCGTAGTCACTTTGGTTGGCAAGGTCGTGTGACGGGGCTGAGGCAGAGCAGCGAGGTCGAGGAGGAGAGAGGGAGGGAGCGAGAGCACACACGCACGCACTCACTCAACTCAACACGGACTCGACGCAACTCGACGAACACGGACACAAAGAGGTCAAGTGGCAAAGTCGCAAAGTCGCAATCTTGGTTCCATACACACTGTCGCAGCAAGTCACACTGAAGCACAAGCACTGAGGCCGAAAATTGAGTCCCCCCGAACTCAACTGAAGCCCGGTCTTACGTACCGGACTCAAGTTGAGTCCGAGGGCAAAAGTGCAATTTGCCTCGGGGCTGCACTGCAAAAGGTTTGAGCTTGGGCGCCAGAATGCTGGATGGCGCCAAGTATCGAAATCCTGAAAGTGCCAGATGAGGGATTTGAGAACAGACGCCAACTGCAGAGGGCGCCAACAGTCAGGAACCGGAGATCTGAGACTCAAAGATACAGCCTGGCGGGTGGTAACCCATGAATCAGGGATCGAGCCCTGGCAGAGTCCGTAACAGGTCGGTTCTTAGATGCTCAAGACGGGAGCTTGAAGCAAGGTCGTCTTCAGCGTATGGAACGCGTGTCGGGCTTCGTCGTTGAACTCAAAGGGCACCAAGGGGGACTGAAGTCGCGTCAATGGTGCAGCGATCGGTTGGAAGCTTTTGACGAACCGCATGTAGTATGATGCTAAGCCGAGAAAGGAATGGACGTCGGTAGTACTCGCGAGGTACGGCCAATCTTGAATGGCTTCTACTTTGTCCGCGAGCGGACGAATGCCTTGCGGCGTGACGTAATGGCCCAAATACTCCAGCTCTTGCTGGGCAAACTCGCACTTGTCGCGGTTCGCCTTGTACTTGGCGATACGGAGCTGCTCCAAAACGGCGCAAAGGTGCTCGAGATGCTCGTCCAGCGACCGACTATAAACCAAGATGTCATCAAGGTAAATAAGTACGGTGCGGTCGAGCGGGTCGCGAATTTTCGTCGTCATAGCCGCTTGGAAGGCAGTCGGGGCATTGGTGAGACCGAATGGCATGACGGTCCACTCAAAGTGCCCATACAGCGTCTTGAACGCGGTCTTGCACCGATCTCTTGGCTGGATCTTGACCTGGTGATAGCCTGACTTGAGGTCCAACTTGGAGAAGTTCTTGGCGCCGCCGAGTCGCTCGAGGAGATCATCCATCCGCGGGAGAGGGCCGACGTTCTTGATCGTTTGCACATTAAGTTTCCGATAGTCGATACACAAACGAAGGTCCTTGTTCTTCTTCCGGACGAAGAGAACGGGAGCACCGTATGGCGAACAGCTAGGGCGAATCCAGCCCTTGGCCAAGAGGTCGTCTAGTTGTGCCCAGAGCACGTGAAGTTCCTCTTCGCTCATTCGGTAAATACATCTGCTCGGAGGTACGATGCCGTCCTCGAAAGTGATCCCGTGTCATAAGGGTCGATCCGGTACGACTCCGACAAGAGTTTGAAAGGCGTCCTCATAGCTGTCTAAAAGCTCAATGATGCGTGGGCCCGATGTGTCCGTCTTGGGCTGGTCAACGCGTGGGAGGGCGTAAAGGAAACAAATGCCCATTTCCTTGACGTCGTGTCGGCTGATGGATTGGCGAATGCTCGCCGCGGAGACCACGTGGAAGCGGTACCGTGCACGAGACTAGTTCGCCACGCCGATCACGAACGTGAACGGTGCGTCGAAAAAAAATTACCGGATGGTCTTCCCTTTGCAGCCACGACATGCCTAAGATCATATCGAACTTACTGTCCAATATGTCGAATGACACGGCCTTGCATGCGAGCGGGGCAAAGTACACGGGCACGAAGTCAAAGCAGCGGTCGATTGACTTTTGCTTGTGACCATCGACCAACGTTACGTGCGTAGGCTGACTTTTCCTTCGAACGCGTGGACCAAGCCCGACGCGTGCCATAAAGTCTTGGCTGATATAGTTCGAGTCGCTCCACAATCGATCAAGGCTTTGCAGGTCGCCTTTCCGATCTGAATGCGGATGTAGAGAAGCGGCGCGTCAATGTCGACGTACCGCGTTGTGTGCTCGCGGTTGATCTTCGCGAGATAACTGCGAAGGTCGACAACCGCTACTGCGTCGTCCGTCGACGGAGGTGATACTGCAACGTGCAAGTATTCGTGCAAATGTGACATGAGGGCGTTGCAATGTGGTGTTGGCAAAGAACCGGTGGAGAGAAGAGGCAACCATTGGAAGTCATCAACCGTCAATGGGTCGAGTTCCTCAAGACTCGCCCAAGTTGACGGATCCTTCGATAGAAGGGCTGGCGAAGCAACTGGTTCGTTGGCCGACGGTGGTAACACCGTGCATGCACTTGAATCTTGCACGTGGAGAGGCTGGTTCAACGGCGGGACCAGCTGGACAGCATAGTTCTCGAAGTCAATCCGAGAACTTGCGACTACCGCAGCATCCCCGGACGTGAGAGAGACTGCTAGCAAGGCAGCCGAGTCCGGCGGACTGGGAAGTGATGTCGCTGGACGCTTGACATTTTCTTTGTCCTTGTCTAGGCACATACTAGTGATGTGTTTGGTGCTGTTGCACCATAAAAAGCATCCCCATTTATGTCGTAACTTGAACATGTCTTCGGTGATCCTGAACTCTGTCCATGGTGACTGTCTCGCTCCATCCGCCGACGCTGTTTTCGCCTTGTGTTTTCCCCATAGGGTCTTGAGCGTTGTGGGGTATCGCTGCCGCCACATCTCCATCACTTGATGTTGAAGCGGCTACGTGGTCCTCACTAGATCCTCGCTGGATTGCTGCTACGTGCGACGTCCGCTGATGTTACATGCCGAGAGCCTCCACACGGGCCCCTCACGGGACCCGAGGTTGGATAAGGGCCCCCAGGTCGCGTCACCGCAAGCTGGAGGCCCTACGGCCATTTTACTTAGGCCTGCATCAGAAAGACTTCAACTTTAAGTTGATTTCTTATTTATTTATTTACTGATGTGTTTTTACTAATGTGCTGTTGTCCGTTTTGTGGCCAGGTACACAGTTAGGACCAGGGCCGGAATCAGGCCCAGAGGCTGAGCCTCTAATTCAGTTTGGACCGTTACTCGTTTTCAGAAAGACG